GGGAAGGGATAAAAATGAATGATGACTAAGAAGACCTGGGAGAGAGTGTGTAGTAAGAACAGTAAGAGTTGATAAAATGCAAATTTTCTTGCTTCAGGGATTTGGAGAGCTGCTGTTGCTAAAACTTTGAGGCATTGGGACCAGCCTTGATAAACTAATTGTTTCCATAGGAATGCAATGGGATGGGCGGGGGTTTCCCCAGCCTTTTGGTAAAGAACTCCCAAGGCTTGTCTATGTTCTCAATGGAGTGACAGGAAAAAAGGCTTGTTGGGGTTTGGTGAAAATAGAGTTGAGGATTTGAGAAGAGAATTCTGTAGATATGGTGGAGGAAAAAGAACAGGGACATGGAAGAGGATCCAACAGGTTCCCTTTGGAAGCTTCATAGAGGGATTTGGCTATGAGGGAGAATTTTGGTATCTATATGCAGAAATAGTTAAAAAGGCCTAAAGAGGGACAGCATGTTTCTTTTGGTGGTTGGAAGAGGAATGTTTTTTAAAGCCTGGAGTCAATATTTAGGCTTCCTAAATATTGTACCTAAGGGAAGCAGAGCTGGGCCTTAGATTGAGAAACCTGGTCCCCCCAGGAGGTCAGAGAGTTAAGCAGGATGCTAGTGTGACCTGTGGGAATATTCTAGTGAAGGACTACAGGGCAGGAGGTCATCTACATACTAGGGGACAAACTCTCTTGTTGGAGAGCCAGGCCATCTATGAACCAGTAGTGGGGGCTCCCTGAGAATCCCTGGGGGAGAACTGTCCAGGTGAGTTGCTGCGTAGTTAGTGTCTGGGTCTGTCCAGGTAAAAGTGAAAAGTGGGTGTGAGGCAGGATGGAGGGGAATGATAAAGAAGGCATATTTCAAGGCTAAGTTTATACTGAGAAATGTGTGATGGAGGCTGGGATATGAGATAAAAAGGATTAGGGGTTCAGCACTACTGGGTATGTGGGAACAATGGCCTCATTGATTTTTCTGACATCCTGTACTAGCCAGAATTGACCATTGGATTTTTTTTTAGTCCAAGAATGGGCGAGTTATAAGGTGAGTGGATTGGTATGAGGCCTAACAGACCAGATTAAACCAGAATGCACGCACTCATGCTAGGTGCCAAGTAAAAACTAAATTTTGAAAAGAGCTATTTTTCAAAAAAGCAAGAGAGTCACAGTAGCCATCAGAAGGGGCCCAGTTTACCTGATCCAGAATGACAAGGAAGTCCCCTCTGTTTTAATCCCCTAAGAAAAGTAACTTTGAAATAGCGAATTTCCTTTTTGTTCCGTTTGGCCCTTTTCTGCTTGTAAAGCCAACTTCCTCTGCTCAGCTTAATGGAGCACCTGTCTATTTTTATAGACAAAAAGCAGCATGATTCATGAATTGCTAATAAAGTCAGATCTTTTAAATTAAAATTGTCTTTTGACAATATTATTGTTCCCATTTTAGAGATGAGGAAATGAGTTCAGACTGGGAAGTGGCAACCAACTATGGATTCCAGAGCTATGTGCAACCCAAGAGAGAAAGGGTAGATGTGGGAGGTGGAGCAGAGAGAGGAACTGAAGTTGTTTCATTTGAGTTGAAAGGAACTGCATGTGATTGTTTTGTGAAAATATTTCTTAGTTGTATTTTATCTATGTTTCACATGCAGAAAAACTCTTAATCTGGTGGGTTTACTTTTCCCTTCCCAAGGACACTCCATAGTTGATATYGATCCAATGATTTGAAGGGACATTTAGATCAGGGCTTGAACACAAAACAGAGAGAGGGATTGATGGTTCATGGATAAATGTTTACAATAAGCCTCCATCAATGACTTTGTGAGATGAAAGAAGAGAACCTATAGTAAATCACCTTAAATTTTAGTAGGTAACTGTAAGAATATGAGTGTATTAGAGTGGCTCTGAGTTTGTAACAGTGGCTGGTGCTTTGTGAATTGTCCTTTGCAAGGTTACACCGAATCCCTTTGCCCAACATTCTAAAGAAAAGCAGTCACTCTTTTTATTCCCTAAAATTATATACCCCTGTAGTTTCATTTCCATCTATTTAGCTTAGATGCCATGGTTCATCAATTCAGAAAAGCATTTCCTAGAATCCTGAAATCTGTTGATTCCTGTTTTAAATAAATGCAGGCAAAAGCCCAATGTTGGAAAAAACCAACACAGGCAACACTCGTGCCAAGCCCTAAACGTTTCGAGATAAAACCACAGTGAAGGTTGCTGCCACTGTACACTCACAATGTAGGTTTCAACTGCCCCGCCCCCACCATTTTACTGATCTTTTCTGGTCAACTTCTCCCACCCTTAACTTTGAACTCAATTCCACTCTCATTTCTTACTTTCRGTGAGTCCTTGACTTGTTTCAGATGATATAGAAGCTACCATTACAGACTTCCTGCCACAAAAAGTACACATCTAGCTTAATTCACACCTAGTTTCTCATACTTTTACTGTTTTTTTTAAAAGAAAATATTCTCTTCTCCCTGCTGCACTCKAATTATGCTGGTTTATCCTTCTTGGGGTTCTCAGGGATCCTATACTGCCAGTTACTTTTCCCTCTAACATTTTCAATTTTTTTCTTAATTGGATCCCTGCCACCAGCATTTATACTTGCTCAAATCTCTTCCACTTAATAAAGCAAAAATCAAAACTTTCAACTCACTTTTCCCTCTAGGCACTTCCTTCTCTCCTGTGTGAATGCACCAATGTATTTGACCTATTTTCTTTGCAGTTAGGTTCCTGCCATTTTTAAAAATCATTAAAACAATGTTGCAATGAAAATATTGCCTGTAATTTTGTATATTGGCAGGTGGAGAGATAGTCTAGATTTCTAGATAGTCCCACTTCAAAGACTAAGGATTTGATAGGTATGGTCATATTCCACAGGGGATCAGACCACTTCACACTCCCATCAATGGGAGTATGTATTTCCTGCCTTGATAGCAAATTTTGGAAATTCTTGCCAGTCTTAAGATAACATAATTCCTTAATTTTTTCTCATTATGATAGAGAACAAGCTCTTTATTCAAGTTTAAAGGAATCTGGTCTTTCTTTTKCTGTGGTCTTTTTTAATGCCACTGGCCCATTTTTCTAATGAGCTGTTGGTCTTCTTTTTAATATCTGAGACCTCTTTATATAGCAGGGAGATTAGAATAGGCTAGATTTTTCTCAACACAGTACAAAGCCACAGTTTAAAAAAAAAGAGGTTTAATAAAATCATCCAAGCCACTTTCTTCCTTGGAAATAAGAGCTCCTGTTCCAATTTTATTGTTTCTGACTGAACCCCAGCCTCTGTGGTTCAGATTGTCCTTTGCCCTGCTAAAAATTTATGTGGTAGAAAAATTTAAAATTCAGAAATATGGTCCTATTTATTGACTGAGATCTATGCAAACCTGGCATCCTGGTCATTTTAGAAACAGGACRGGACCTTCTCATAGGACCCATGACCTGAGTGAGGTCTGGTCATTTGCTAGCACCTTAAAATRTCACATTATAGCCTTGTTGCATCCTCTTTGATTCTTCTGGATTAAGCTCTTGGTTAAAAATATTTTAACTTCCATTTAGCAGCACAACATCAAATACATCATCATCAATAAAGAACTCAAACACATTGGTGATTTTAAGCTTGAATTTATGTTTTGAAATAAAAATGCAATAACAAATTTTTACAAAATTGTCACACAGGAACACATCATACGATACCATTACATACTACATTGTCTTAGAAAAAGTCAATAGATCGAATCAATTAGCTGTAAATTAAAACATGAGTTCCTTTCTTTGGGCAAAAAGAAAGCTCATGTGAAATGCTGGACAAAAGCCAGTGAGACCTGCCAGTATAGTCAGTAATGGCTCAATGTTTCCAGGTGTGAGGAAGCCARGATTCTGGCCTCGTTGCTGGGGCTAAGCTCTGGCCTCCAGGTTCCCTCTGTGCACAGGACAGGCTTCCACCTGATGCTTCTGAAGTCCTGTGTGCATGGTCCTTTTATTTCAGATAACTACATACAATTTTGCCACTATTTTACTTTGTAAACTTCAGAAAATAACATTTACAAGTTTTACCACAAGGAATACCATGATTTTTATTATGACTCTCACCACCTTGGAAAAATATCSATTTTGTAAGTTTCTGGTTTGGTCCATCTTCTTATGACATGCCTAAGAAGCATCTGCCACACGCACACCTGTACATGTAAGAAACCAGCGGGTGGTGCTTTTCTGAAGCCCAGTCTATGGCTCTGCCTCCACTGAATAGGCTGTCCCACATCTTAGGCTCAAACTATTTTCTCTCAAATTACAGAGTGCCCAGCTGATCATTTATTGTTCTTTCCTTATATTTTCACTATTTATTGTACACATCATATTTCAGTATGTTCCTGTAGCAGTTCTTTGTTTAGCCTAACAATCAAAAATTGAATTTTTTTATATTAGTTCTTTACACATTTTGTTGGTCTGTAAAGTTGATTTGCATAAAAACAAATGAGAAGAAACATATGCTGGTAGATCTTAGCACCTTAGAGTTATGATTCTGTCTGTCCATTAATATTGCAAGTTAGCCTTAAAAGAATCAACTCAGCTTGCTCATACTTTCTCTAAAATATTTAGTTCTCTTCAAGTAAACATAATTTTTTTATAATAGACATGCTCAGAACAAATAGCACAAAACCATAAGCTATGACAACTGATGTAAAAATGCAGTTGGCTGACTTCCATTTATCAATTCTAAAATAAAGGCTTAAGCCTTTGAACACGCCAATGTCCCCCAAGTTCTAAGGTCCATAATTCCACATCATCATTTATATAGTTTGACAAAAA